CGAGTGTGTTCTCAAGTTCCCATCTAAAATATAATTAATCATGAAAGCTTGTGACATTGAAAATGACAAGTTCTAGATCTGATGTCAAATTTAAATGACTATTTAGAGGATATATCTGAGAAATCAAATAATTTGCACGTGATTGAAGGAGTACATCTTATTGAGCTAATGAACGTGCCCATAGATCACATGGGCTTGCTTGCATTGGTGATTCTAGAGGGCCCAGGCAACATTTTTGGTTTTAGCTAGAGCTGAGACAACTGCAAAGAAATTCCTCAAAGATTAGGGAATTGGGGCTCGTCCTGGAAATGAGAAGTTGATGTGGTGAGTGTTGGAAGAAGCGTTGAAGTCTTGGATTTCTTTGACAATCCTCCCTTTTTTAATTGAAAGTCATACATGAATGTCATGTGTTGTCAATTATAAATTCCATCTCATGTTTTAATCCATCTTTTAAAGTTATTAACTGATCAGGTTGCCTTTTTTTAATATTTAATCTGTTGATAGAATTAAGTTAATCAGCCGATCCATGATTTTATCTGTTAACACATCTCAGCTTCTTAGTAGACCCCAATAAGCCTGATCTAGGTTTGTGCCAGATCTGTACTCAAATGCAATCTCAGTTCCATCAGACTGATCTTAACAGTTACATATTCACTGAGTTTACCTTTATTTTGAAATAATCTGTGACTAAACGCAATCAAAAGTCCATGATCATGATCAGCCATTTTGTTTGTTATTCCTGTTTTTTCCTTTTTTTGAAGTAATAAAATTCACACACACATTATCCTTTTTTATCCCTCCTCCTCTCTCTCTCTCTCTCCTCTTCTCTCTCTCTTCAGTTTTGTTTGTGTGTGGTTGTTTCCATCAACCTCTGTGAGTGTTCCAGTCTTTCTTTTTCTTCTAATTTCTGAGTAATTGATATGGGACGTTTAAAACAATATGAATGATATATGAACTGTGCAAGTAGGGAGCTAGTAGGACGCTCTCAAATTTTGAGTCTAAATGCCTACGATGGATGAATGGAGTCGAATTACTTGATGATGCTCTGAGAAATAAACGATTCCTTCCTACTGGATGTGACGGGTATGTTGAGCTGGAGTCATTTACTGAGTATTGGGCTTTGTAATTTGAGAGAGCTATTTATTCATATTAATTTATCATGGAATGCTTTTTAACTTTGGGTTGTATGAGCTTGCCAGGATAGACACACTTCTTGGTGGTGGACTACGTGAGGGCCAGTTGACGGAAATAGTTGGTCCTTCTTCATCAGGCAAAACACAGGTAAAATGCTCCAAACTGTAGTTTAGGTGATTTTATTTCCTCCTCTTTTCCCCCATAATTCAATCCGACAGGATATTTGGTTTTGATCAGTTCCTGTCATCTTATTTGCTATCCATTAATGTGCAGTTTTGCCTATATGTTGCTTCGAATGTTGCAGTCAAGCTATGTGGTTCCGTCGTTTTCTTGGATACATCAAACTCCTTTTCTCCGACTCGTATTGCTTCCATTGTAAATCAAATTTTTGGTCCTGCGGTCAAAGAGGTTTTCTTTAATGCTTTCCTTACTTTATCGCTCTTGAACATTGCCTTTGCATGATTTGCAAAAGGATACCAAGATAGATAATGATGGTATTCTGGAATTGATACCAATCTCATTGATTTTGCCTCTTTTTTTTTTATAATATCAATATTCTTGGTTAAATTTAGGGCCAGGAAATAAGGATTAAGAATATCATGAGCAGCATACACTGTCAATCAGTTTTTGACATATTTTCACTGCAGGATGTATTGCATGAACTTTATAACACATTAAAGATGCAGGTTCATAATTTAAGCATTCCCTTTGTTCATTATAGAAATTGTTTTGGCTTGCTACTGTGTTTGAGATTTTGTAATGAATGTTCCAGACAATAAGCAAGGGTGACAAGATATGCATGTTAGTAGTTGACTCAGTTTCATCTCTCATAACACCTATCCTTGGAAGCAAAAATTCACAAGGTATACTCGTTCTTGTTTTTCAGTTGTTGAATGCGTATGCTTATAGTAATTGATGGCATGACCTTTGTGAGCTTAGGTAAAAAATTGTAAAGGATTGTGTCTTTATTAAATTGTCTTTCTTAGGACATGCATATATATGCCTATATATATTGGAGATTAAAAAATAAGACATGAATATACAACAAAGGAGAATATTCTCAATAGTGAAGAAATATAACAATGATAAATAGTGAATATTCTTATTATAACTAGTTAACACATGCGATCATTTAGATATGATGATATTCCCCTAGAGCTTCATATGTTAAAAATTATGTCAACTTGAGTTTGGAAACAATAGTGATCAAAGATGAAGTAATTGAAGGTTTTGTTGTCCAAAGTTTGCAAGTTTCTAAAGAGGGTCAAGACCGATTGTGAAATATAAAGTAGTGTTAGTTAGAAGCAAAATGTCAACAACTAGATTTGTATCAAAGAAGGTGCGTATAAGATCCTTAAACAAGTGTATAAATAGAGAATGTCGATAGATTTTTAAATGGAGAGCATCGACAAAGAGTACATAGGTAGGTTGTCAAGGTGAATAGACCTTTCTGAAAAACAAAATAGGCTTAGTACCTTATTGGTTAACAATTAAAAATAGATGTAGGCGACATCTGATAAGGTTAGAGGTGCGGCGATAGATCAAAGAGGTGTTGTTATTATTTGGAAGTTGATGGTGGCATTCGCATAGGATATATTGCAAATGGCTTGATGGATGAGCCCAAAACACATGAAGATTAAATTGAAGGTGTCATTGCAGCTCAAGAAAAAAAAAACATTAGCAAAATGATAAATTCGGCACAAAGAATCAGAACAAATTTGTGTGACTGTGACGACACCAGCATTTGCGTGATGGTGGTGCCAAAGAGGGGGTGCAATATGAGTTGTGATCAAACAACGAAGTTATTCATCCACTCCTCATCAGGAATCAAGCAAAGCACGTACATGGACAATTGCAATAAGCGATGATTGACGGGAGCGCTGATGAGTTCGCAATTGGGTTTCAATTTAGGATGAAATGGAATGAGACCAATGCGTTTTAGGGAGAATTAGTGCTGAGGGTTGGATTGTAGATGCATTTGGAGGGTGGATCATGTGAATGTGGAAGCAACATGGTTTACATGGACATACACGAGCACAAGGAGAGGCTTCATGAATGCAAGGTGACGATCAACGATGAGTTGAGAGAATAGGGACAACATGAGAATGAATAAT